ACCCCAACCCTTCCCTTTCCCTTTCCCAGAGGGGAAAAATCCTTTTGGGATGTCAGAGAGGAAAAGGGAGCTGCAGCAAAGGAAAGGATGGATGGAAGCACCAGGTGGTTTCAGGCCAGGGTGAGGGAGGAGAACCCTGGGTCACAAGGGGCTGCCCCAGAGCCTGAAAATTCTGGCCCAGGCTTGAACTTCAGGCACAGGAACAGCACCCCAGGCACTGTTTGCTCCCAGAGCCTCATCCCCACGCCGATGGGGCAGTTGAGAGCTTAGAGGGCAGATATATTTCCAGGTGGGGAAAGAGAAAACCAGCCAAGATGGTAACTGGGGCAGGGGGAAAGGGTGGACAGTCCTGCCAGCTCTGCCCACACGGGAGGAAGGGGATGCTGCAAGTGCAGGGGGGGCAATGGGCTCTGGCCATGCTGGGCCTTGAGGAGGGAATGGGAATAATTGGGATGTGCTCTGATGCACATAAGAGGGGGAGGTGAGTGGGGCGCTGTCCTGCTGCTTTCTGCCTCGAGGATCCCCAGGAAAGGGCTGGGAGTTGTGGGGATTATCCCAGAGCAGTACCTCGAACACCCTGTTGCTCGACATCAACCCAACCCCCTCACTGCTTCCACAGGCAGTGGGTGGAGGTGGATTGAGGATCCAGGATCAGGCCTGGATCTCCACCTCCTCCTGAACTGGGGATGGGCAGGATTTTTGGTTTAACCCTCGATGGAAACATCTCCAAAAACCCACCCTTGTTCCTAGGCTGGTGCAACCACAAAGCTACAGCACTGGGACAGCTGAGTTTGCAAATCCCCAAAAATCCAAGGGAGGTTAAATGGTTGTGACCTCAATTAATCAAAATCTGCAAGGAAGAATGGGGAGAGCACTGTTGCTTCTGGGAAATACAAATATTTCCCCCAGTTCTGCCCTGAAAGCCAACTTGGTCAGCACTGTCAGGCAGCTCCTGCCAAAGAGGAGGTTGTGTTTTTATTGATGGCTGAAGTGTCCTCATATTTTGCTTAGCTTAGAAAGAAAAGAGACTTGGTTTGCCCAAGATGATGAGTACTATTAAAATGTAGGCTGCTATTATTGATTATTAATGCAGAGCTCTTCCTAAAAGCCTTTTCATTGAAGCTGGGAGAACCAATCTTGTCTGGAGCGAGATTTGATTGATTTCCTTTGAAACCCAAAAAGAAAAATGCTGGAATCATCCATCTTTCCCTTATATTTTTCTTACGTAAAAGCCTGCCAGTGTTACAGATTCTTTAGTGTCACACACCAAAAAACAAAACAGCGACAACAACAAAAAAAAACAAATCCTCTTTTGGCTGCTCAGCTTTTGATGAAACTCTCCATAAAAACGCCAAGCAGCTGACAAAAGGAGCTCCCCGGACCCCACATATCACTCCTGGTTTTCCTGGCGGAGAAAACAACCTCCATCCATTTCCCAGGCAGCCCTGCTGGGGCTCTCCCGTCTCCCTGGCAAGTATTTTCCACCCAAAATCAGATTATATGCTCCGAATTGGGATCATCCTCAGAAGAAAGGAGGATGCCTCCCGAAAGCCAGCGGGACGAAACCTGCCCCAGCATTTTGCTGGATTGCCTTTCCCGTGTCCTTCACCTGAATGTGTCCCAGGGTGAGTAAATCCCTGCACTGGGGCTGGGATGGATCCTTGGGATGCTCCCACCAAGCCTGACTTGGGGCAGGGGCAGATGAAGCCACAGGGAAATGCAACCTTTCGCATCCTCCCCTCCTTCAGCAGGATGGGGCAGGGATGGAATCAGCTTGGAAATCAGGGAAGGAGCTCATATTTGGCTGCAGGGGAGGTATGGAATTGTGATAAAACAGCGTGGCCAAGGAAAACCCAGTTTCTGGGCTCGTTTGTCCTCGCTCAGCCCCTGTGAGTGGAGGCTCATCCTTTCCTGGTTCACCAGCTGCAGGATGGAGAAAGGGGCACGGTGGCTTCCCACTGAGAGAGGGCAGGGCTGGATGGGATATTGGGAAGGAATTCCTGGCTGGGAGGGTGGGCAGGCCCTGGCCCAGGTTGCCCAGAGAAGCTGTGGCTGTCCCTGGATCCCTGGAAGTGTCCAAGGCCAGGCTGGAGCAGCCTGGGCTGGTGGAAGGTGTCCCTGCTCATGGCAGGGGGTTGGAATGAGATCATCTTTACGGTCCCTTCCAACCCAAACCACTCCCTGATTCCAGCCGAGTGTAGAATAAGCTGCGCAATCAGCTCAGCGCGGCCGGGAGGGAGTCCTGCAAATCCCCCTAAATCGCTGCTCTGGGAATTGCCTTTTGTCACCCGATCGCCGCTGATCTCGATCGGCGGCAGGACGCACCCCCGAAAAGAAGGGAATTCAAAAGGCGGCCCGGCTCAGTCCGAATTGCTCTGCGTGTCAGAGCCATCTCGGCTCCCCTCCCTGCTGCAAACACCGGCCTATTTTGAGGTCCTTCCCGCTCGCACCGAAATGAAAAGCGAAGACCTCAAAGCGGCCCCGTTTCCTGCAGCGGCGCCGGCTCGAGGCACCCGCAGATGAGACGTGTCAGCTTTGCCCGCTCCTTAAATCCTGTCACCGCTCGTTCTGCTCGGCTGCGGTGTAAATTCCTTGAAGTTTCAGCAAATCCCGGGCGGATCGGCTTCCAGAGAAACCCGGCAATAAGCAAAAGAAAGGATGCCACGCAGCGCAGCCACTGCTTAGTTTTGCGAAGTTCTCGGGCGTGCGGAGGAGTGTGTGGGGGGGGTTTTGGGTGGTGATTTTGGAACTGCAGCAGCGGGGCAGGGTTTTCTCCCAGCCTAGGGAACATCCAGGTCTCCTCTCCCGTGGATCGGGAGGGAACAGGTTGCACGGGGAAGCTGTGGCTGCCCCACCCTGGAATTGTTCAAGGTCAGGTTGGAGCAACCTGGTCTAGTGGAAGGTGTCCCTACCCCTGGCTTACGGGATCTCATTCCGTGAGATGGTCTTTAAGGTCCCTTCCAGCCCAGACTGTGCTGTGGTTCCTTGAACACAGATGGTCGTGGAGAGTTTTGGTTGGTTTTTGTAACTAAGATCGGCTCCAAAATATACAGAGGAAACCAGGAAAAGAATAATTCATTCAGTGAATGAATTCAAATTCATTTTATCAGGGAGTCAGAGGAGAATACTTCGGGCTCTGAATTGATTTAGCAGTCAGGAAGGGAGGAGAAATTAGATTTATATATATATATATATATTTTTTATTTCCATCCTCTAATCTTGGGGGAGGATCTGGAAAAGGGAAATCATCGGAGAAGAGAAAATCTCCTAACACCTACAATGAGACTGACTGTCAGGAAAAAAAAATATATATATATAACAGAGGTAAAAATCTCTGCAGAAATGTTCTTTTTTTGGCAGAAAAAGCCTGTTCTTCCCCTTGAACAGCTCCCAGCAAAACGTGTCCATAGAGCTGCTGTTCCCACTGCCCCTCTGGGCTGACACCATTTATCCGAGAACAATTAAGAGGTGATGTGACCCTGCCTAAAAATGCCTGCAAATGCCTGACAGCAGGAGATTTGAATCAAAAAGGCTGTGACAGGAAAGAAATCCATGTGACCAGCTCAAGGTTTTCAGTGGACTGATTGGAGCTGAGTAGCAGGGAGACAATTTTCCAGGGGAACATTGGCTGACGGTGGCCATCTCCCTGCTGATTTATTGGATTACAATCAGAATTTGCCAGCCAACAGTGGACACAATTTCTCAGTCACACAAACCCTCTCAATCAAGAGTGGGGATGGTTCAAATTTACACCCTGTAGCGTAACCAGGAGCTCCTTTTCTCCAGGCTGAGCAACCCCCCCCGGCTCCCTCAGCCCCTCCTGCTGCTCCAGCCCCTTCCTCAGCTCCGTTCCCTCCTCTGAACACGCTCCAGTCTCTCCATGTCTTGTTGTGAGGGCCCCAAAACTGACCCCAGAAGAGTCCATCACCCCGTCTCTAGCTTTGCTTACAGTGCTCCTGCAGGCACGTCCTTTAATCTTCCCAAAGGCAAAATCACTCCTTGATCTCCTCAGGGGCATCTCAGCTGCAGGTGGTTATTTCTTTCTGGAGTTCCCAAGCTGTCTGGAAATACAAGTGCAGGGTGTTGTCCTTCCCCCTTCCCACTAAACATTGCTATGGATCTAACCATTTCATCTGGAGTCACTCCTGGTTTATCCCACCCCACTCCTGGGTGCTTCCCTGGGAAGGGCAACAGTCTGGAGGGAGTTACATGCCGTGGATGGAAGTAGTCAAATATTTTGTACAGAACGGTTCTGGTGGGAGAATTAGCTTTTTAAGGCATTTTTATTCCCCCAAAACTAAGCTTTTTTTAAGCATGATATTCCCCGGGAAACCACGTGGAGTTTGAACTGCACTCAGTTAAATGACACCTCATGTCATGGATTCCCCTGGATCCCTGGAAGTGTCCAAGGCCAGGTTGGAGCACCCCGGGCTAGTGGAAGGTGTCCCTGCCCATGGCAGGGGGTGGAACTGGGTAGTCTTTAATATCCCTTCCAACCCAAGCCACTCTGTGATTCCGTGATTCTGCACATGGTGTGGTTGCGAGGAAGTGGCGGGGAACGGTTCAGTCGGGGTGTTTGGGCAAGTGAACATTTCCGTTTACAGAATTAATTTCTTGTCCCCTCTGAGGTCCAACATTTTTATTAGATATTAGGAAGAAGTTCTTCACAGAGAGAGTGATCAGTCACTGGAAGGGGCTGCCCAGGGAGGTGGTGGATTCACTGCCCCTGGAAGTGTTTAAGGACAGACTGGACGTGGCATCGGTGCCGTGGTCTGGGTGATGGGGTGGTGTTGGCTCACAGGTTGGACTCGCTGATCTCAGAGGTCTTTTCCGGCCTGGCTGATTCTGTGATTAACATCTGATTGGGAATAAAATCCCCCAAGCTGCACTCACCCCCTGCAACCCTCCTAACTAACTCCCTTTGCAACTCCTCTCCCGTCCAGGTACCTGGGCATCACCCGCCCGCTGACCTACCCGGTGAGGCAGAACGGGAAGCTCATGGCCAAGATGGTCTTCATCGTCTGGCTCCTCTCTGCCTCCATCACCCTCCCCCCCCTCTTCGGCTGGGCCCAGAACGTCACGGTGGAGCGGGTGTGCCTCATCAGCCAGGACTTCGGCTACACCGTGTACTCCACGGGCGTGGCCTTCTACATCCCCATGGCCGTCATGCTCGTCATGTACAGCCGCATCTACAAGGCGGCCAAGGTGAGCGCCGAGAAGCACCGCTTCATGAACCTCCCCAAGCACTACGAGGAGGAGGGGGTCTACTGCCTGGAGGCCTCCGGCCGCGGCCACCACAGCTCCCGGCGCACCAAGGCGGCGGAGGAGTGCGCCACGCTCTCCAAGCTGCTCCGGCAGGACAGGAAGAACATCTCCATCTTCAAGCGGGAGCAGAAGGCGGCCAGGACCCTCGGGATTATCGTGGGGGCCTTCACGTTCTGCTGGCTGCCCTTCTTCCTGATGTCCACGGCCCGGCCGTTCATCTGCGGCGTGCGCTGCAGCTGCATCCCGCTGCGGCTGGAGAGGACTCTGCTCTGGCTGGGCTACGCCAACTCCCTCATCAACCCCCTCATCTACGCCTTCTTCAACAGGGACTTGAGGACTACTTTCTGGAACCTCCTGAGGTGCAGGTACAGGAACATCAACAGGAGGCTCTCGGCCGCCAGCATGCACGAGGCCCTGAAAGCCACAGAGAGGCACGAGTGCATCCTGTAGGGCCGCGGCCTCTCTCCCAGTGCCTGACCAAGCGGCTCCTGCCTCTCCATTTCAGGTTTCCTCGCTTCTCCTGCCCCTCCTGGGGGCCGGCAGAAACCATTTGTGCCGTTGTTTCCCCCCGCCCTTCCCTGCCAGACATCACTGAGCCCCTTCCCCTCGCCCTGTGAGGAGCCGCAGCTCTCCTCACCTCGGGAACAAGTGGAGGGAACTCCCCTTGGGAACAAGTGGAGGGAACTCCCCTTGGGAACAGCCCTTCCCTCTCATCGTGCCCAAGGTGGGGGGTGAAAAGCCATGAGCCAGACTCGGGGGGAGTTCAAGGTCTACCAACTGTGGGCAACTCACACCACCTTTCTGTGCCTCAGTTTCCCCATCTGTTATTTAAAAATAAAAAAAAATTTAAAAAAAAAAAAACAAGGCAAAGAAACCCTCCCAGCCAACCAAACATTAAAAAAAACCACTCTAAAAACTTGATAAGACTGTGGCTCTCCACCTTCACAAAGGGCTCTAAGGTCTGTGGAGGGCACACAACACACGATGTGAAGATGACATTGGCTGCACTTCTCTCCGGAACACCACAGCAGCTCCGCTGTAAGATCCCAGCTCCCACGCCATCCCAGCTTACACGGACTCTTCCCACGGATGTAATTGCATTTCACACCCTGAGCTCACGGCCCAGGTTTGCACGTCAGAGCAGTAACACCCATGGCCCCGTTCCCCCCCCACCTCACACTGTGGCACTGCGGCGCTCGGAGGAGACGCTCCTGCAGCATCCAGCACCAACGGAGCTCCCTTCGTGGTTGGATGGCAAAAAGTCCAGCGGCCTCCTCGTCAGGGCAAAGACAGTTGTGTTTATTGGGTTGGACTCTAATTCATTCCCAGACAAGCGATGTGTGTTCATCATTTGTGGCTAATTGACTCCACAAAAGCACGCTTTGGTTGACAACAGACAGAAACATGTAATTTCTCTGACAGCTTTACAGTGCTTCAGTGTGATGTCCAGCAAGCTTGAAAAAAATACACTGGATGATGTATCTTTTTTTTAAAAAAAAAAAAAAAAAAGAAAAAAGGAAAAAAAAAAAAGAAAGAAAAAGTCTGGTTTCCTTCTTTTGGTGGAGACCTTTTGGTCTGACTTTAAAAGGTCTCTTTGTTTTTATGTAGTGGTGGCTGCAGGTGTCTTCCTGCAGATCCTCTTTGCCCATGATCAACCTCGTTGTGTCAACCCGGCAGCCCCACAGACCTTTGCCTGTTTGTAGATGATCACTGAATTGTAGACTCATGGAATGGTTTGGGTTGGGAGGGACCTCGAAGACCATCTCGTTCCAGCCCCTGCCAAGGGCAGGGACACCTTCCACTGTCCCAGGTTGCTCCAAGCCCCCTCCAACCTGGCCTTGGACACTTCCAGGGCAAATGATTTGTGCTCCAGTTGTTGAATGTCTCCTGTCCTGGGTTTCCTTGTCAAAGCCAGACTGTTCAGAGGCCGAGGGAAAGTTGTTTCTAGACCTCCCCTCCCTCCAGATTTTCTTCATCAAGCAAGAGTGTGTGAGTGGTGGGAGTCCCATCTCTGGCAAAAATACAAGTGTGATGCCTTAATCCATATCTGAGTTGGGTGTTGGATGTCTTGACTGAGTGCTGGTTTAACTTCTGTGCTCTCACTTCTCCTCTTTTTACCAGCCATTTTTATCCTGGCTCATTTCACAGTTGCTTTTTTTTTTTTTTTTTTTTTTCTAGAAAGATCTGCAGTTTGGACTGGCAATTCACAGCGGGCAAACTGGCTCAGGCCCACTAGGAACGTTCCAAGGGACTGAGAGGTCGGGCACAGGGACTGCAGTGTGGCCAGATATTCTCCAAACTCCTGTCCCCACAGACAGAGCCAGAATTGCACAGGGGAGGAGCAGGGGAGGTCGGAGCTGCCCTGGGGGTCTCCAGTGGGAGACACTTAAAGACCAGACAGCAGAGAGGTTTGAAGGAGCACATAGTAATCAGGAGCGATCCTAAGGGTGTAGCTGGAGCCCTGCTTCACCTGCTATTCCAGGCAGGAGCTCTTTGAAGGGGAGTGAGTGGTTTTTGCTAAGGGTTTGGACAGCTCTCCACCCATCTGCCTCCCGTGGTTTGTTACCCATGGCTGTGTGTCGGTGTGGGGCCATCATCCCCTCTGACACAACATCTCGGCAGCAGCTGTTCCTGCTGCTGGTTCCGTTCCTGCCACAGGGACACGAAGCTCCTGCAGGCTCCCCTTTCCTCCCTGGGCTCCTGCAGCTCCTTCCCTGCCACGGAGCCCCCAGTGCCCTTTTGACAGAGCTGTCTGGGTTAGAATTAACCAGCTGCGAATCCCAACCATCTCCTCGGGATGTGAGAGCCCCAGGCCAGCCCATTTCACGTCCAGCACAGTAACAGAAGCCTGGTTGTCCTGCTGCAGTGTATTTATTTACATGCCCCAGGTCAGAGTGGCACCATTTCACTCATTTTCTGTGCTAGGAATTCTAAAACTGCCTTCAACAATTATAATCTTGTTTTAATTCCACTTAACATCCCGGTGCTGATGGTATTTCCAGCACTGCTTAAAAGGGCTCTGCAAAAGAGCTGTGAAACAGTGTTTGAGCTTTTTTCAATTGAATCAGGCAAATACTGTGGGTTTTTTCTGGTTTGAGGGTTCTTCCAGAATAAAAACAGTAAGGGAAATAAATATGACTCTGGATGATCCAAACCCCACAATTCTTCTAAGCGAGGAATCGAGCAAAATGATTTATTTGTCTTAAAAAATCCCAATGTTTTCTTTGACTTGGAATTGAATGTTTTGTTGCACCCAAGGCTCCTCTGACAATTTTTTTTCCCTTCTATTTTCATTTGAAGCTGTAGAAACGTTTAAAAGAAAAGCTTTTTCCCAAGAAACCGTTCCGAGAGTTTGCACCCAGAAATATTTACACCCAACGGCTTCGTTAAACCCAAACATTTTGCTCCAAAAAATAACGAGACGGTCTGTGGGATTTTCCCCACTAGTTATTGACTCAAGCTTTGAGACATCAGCCTAAACTCTTGGGTTTTAACTCCCCAGGATTAAATTGTGTTCAGGTTGGATAAAATAATGTGCATCCAAAGACACCCAGGCCTTTTCCACACACGAGTGAGCACCAACCATTTGGTTAAGCCAGTCAAGATCCTCGTAGATGAGCCACTAAATCATGCTGAAAATGCTCCGTGGGGTTTGTTGGTTTGTTTTTTTTTCTTTTAATCAGACAGGAATCAATGCATTTGGCTTCTGCAAAAACAAACAAAAAAACCCCAAACCTGGCTTAAAATAAATCCGAGCCATTTTGAAGCTGATTTTAGCACACACACGTGGGCCTAACGAAGCTGCGTGAGGTCAAAGAGAAATTAGCTCTAAAAGAGTCCATGTTTAGGCAAAAATTGCGAGCTCAGGGAGAAAATCATCAATTTAGGAGGAGAAGAGGAAGTTTTCGTGGACAATGAGGGAGTCCCAGCAGGGCAACAGCAACACAGCGGAGAAGAATGAGGAGCCTCGGGCAGAGAAAATGGAACTAATTCAGGCAGAAAATGAGTAGGTCTCAAATCAGCCTTTTTATTCCGCTCCCTGCACAAGGGAAATCCATCCAGGGACTCAGGCAGAGTGATCTGGGGGAGAAAAGGGAGATTTGACAAACCTCTCCCCAAGGTGGGGTTTGCAGGTTTTGGACACCGACATTGGGTCAAGCCAGGTGGGCTCAGGTGGGGATGTAGCAAGAAGCTCAAGGGGGTTGAAGCCCCTGTGTCTGTCCCCAAAAAGCCTCAATCCTTTAATCCCTTAATGGCCCATGCTCTCCTTCCACCCTATTCATGATTTTCCCCCCTGCCATCCCCAGTTCCAGGATTTTGTTATTTTTCAGGTAAAGAAGTGTCTCCCTTCACTCCTCCAGACCTGCCATCTGCTGAGCTCTTCAGGGCCTGGCCAATCCTTGCATTAAAAAGGAGAATGAGTGATTATCCCCATTCACCCTCCCCAGGCCAGCTGGGAATTTGCAGACCCTTGCCATGTTCTCCCTTTTGAAATTAAAGGGATCTATTCAACCCCTAATTCCTTTTCCAACAGTAGAAGAGGCCTCGGGAAAAACACTAGGACAAGGATAGTCTGGATCACGTGCCTTCCCACTACGCTCAGAGCATCCAACCTTGTTTAGTTCAGGAAATTCCCTGTTTGGACACGGTTTCTGCGCAAGGCTCAGTGCAACCTTCTGTTTTCCCATGGGAAAATGCCAAGTTTTCCATCTGGGATTGGATAAACCCACATAACAGCCCAGGCTGGGGCAGGACTTGGTGCCCAGGGCACTGCTGAGCTTGGCAAGGAGGAGGGTAATGATGGTCAATCTGTGCCCTGAGGGGGGTTTAGGGGTGCAGAGGGGTGGGGGAGTCTCTTTCCTTGGCCATATTCAACCCTCAGCTGGCTCAGGCCTCGACCAACCTGACCTAATCCTGAAGGTGTCTTTGCTCTGAGCATGACATGGGTTCAGAAGTCTCCAGGTTTCCCTTCCAGCTTCAGCAGCATTTTATGATTTGGATGATTTGGGTGGTTTCTCGCTCAAACACATGTAAATATTTATCTCCTAATTTTTTTTTTTTTTTTTTTTTTTTTTGGCAAGGCAATCTACAGATCTCCTACCCACCATGTGGAAAAAGCTTTTTCTGTTTGGAGCCTTCTGAGTCACATGTCAATAAAACAGACTCAGCCCCACGACACTTTCCACCTGTGTTCTTATGTAAGAAATGGGTATCCTTTGTTTGATTTACTGCCATTTTAAGCTGGAAATGTTTCATATTCACAGTGCAGGATCTGTAGTTGCCTGATTCTACCTCTTTTCTCCCTTTACTCTGAGACAAAGCTTAAGCAAAACCCCAAAAACACCAAATGAACTGGAAGGTCACTGCTGAAAAGTCATTTTTAAGTCACAGTCAAGGCAGAAAGTGGATATTTCATAAAAAAACAGAATGGTTGGGGTTGGAAAGGACCTTTAAGGTCATCCAGTCCCATTCCTTGCCATGGGCAGGGACACCTTCCACTAGTTGTTTGCTCCAAGCCCAATCCAACCTGGCCTTGAACACTTTCAGGGAGTTTTTCCAGCCATTTCCAGCCTTTCTCTGCTCTGCTCTGGTGATTCCTTTTTTTTTTTAATGACAAAATCTTCCACATAGAACCTATAATCTCAGACCAAAAAAAAAAAAATCAAGAAGAAAGCTGGAGCAGAAAGATGTTGTCACACAAATGCCTTTACCTGAGAAGAACCGAATCCCCCTGGCAAACACTCAATTTTCTTTAGCTCTCTTTGGCTTGCACTGACATTCTCCTTTGGGTGGGCTTTACACTTGGCCTCTTGGTCACCTGGGTGAGCATCTATTTACAACCCACAAAAACCTCTCATCTGGGTTGTTTCCACAGGTTTTCATTTGAGATATCTG